AAAAAAAAAAAAATCCTGGAGGCGTGGCGCATGACATCACGAGGCCGCGCATGCCTGTTGGGAGGGGGCACTTTTTTTGTTCTTGTCTCGGGCGCAAAAGGAGCTGGCTATGGCTCTGGACTGCCTTCCACCTTAAAGACTTTATGCCAGAAGCTGGTATCAGATGAGGCCTGAACGTTCACCTAGTAAAACTTAAGAGAACGTGTAAACTGAAGAACACTCAATAGCGGGAAAGAAAACAGAGCATGTGTATGTGTGACAACACAATGGTTGGCACCAGCACTCAATCCCTCAGCATTGACTCATTATGCAATGAGAGACAAAAAACAGAAAATGTAACTGTGCCCAGCAGTCCTAGAAACAAAGTAGCTCCCCATGCATGGCCTACTCACAAAGTGAGCCTTTAGAAACACACATGCCACAGCTCTTGAGCTAGAGAGCACCCTACGGCTAAATTTTACCAGTACAAGCAGGCATGGAAAGCGCCACAATGCAGAGCCCCAAAAGGTCACCTTCCAGACTAGACATGCAACATCATGTCCAGTGGGGTCCAGGTACGGTACTTCCAAGTCAGGCTGAGGAAACAACGATCCAGATAACTGGTTATCTATATAGACCATTATAGTAACAATTTTGATGAAATAAAAAAAAAATATATTCTCAGCAGAAAATTGATAATCATCCTCCTAGGACACTTACAAAAAAAACTGAAGCATGCTAGGAGTAGATGGGGTTATCCTGGACTGGCCCAAAAGTTTGTTGTGTGCAAGTGACCATTTTTACTGAAGGCAGCAGTATAACTCAACAGTCTGAATTTCTGTGCCTCTCAAAAGGACAAGAAAAAGTTTTCAAGATGTGATACAAGATCCCCAAGTGGTACTTACATAACCCGGGCAGCAGGATACTGTGGTGGTAAGTAGCAGACACAAGCTTGTGTTTCACATGCAGCAGATGCATTTGCCACGCAATCCACAGGCTGGCTTTTAGGCTCTAGAGCCTAATAACCTGGAGGGAACTTCCGACATGAAGCCTGGCTTGAACAGCCACTCACATGCCTTTACAGACAGCGTCAAGGAAACCTTTGCCAAGATACCAAATCTACGGGTTCTTCTTGGTCTTCCACAATTTGATGTTGCTATTGAAAAGACAAATTTAGCATTAAAGTTAACAATATATCATGAAATAACTACACACATCTGTGTCGTTATGAACCCCTTCATCCCCATATTCCCTCTGTGTATGATCTGTACATTTAATGCATCTAGTCCACCATTACCAAACTCCATGTTTACAGGCAGCGTCAAGAAAACCTTTGCCACGACCCTGGAAAGCATCCTCCAGTAACATATTAGATAGAACTGGGAGGCACTGTAAAGAAGGGTCCAGCGCCCATGGAGCAATTACAGGATTGCACTGTGGGGGACATAACTTGGAAGGGCTGATCCACAAGGAAGGTGGCTGGTTTAAAAAACAAAACCGCACCCCATGGTTGCATTGGCAATACTCCTAGACTAGGAAACCTGGTCTGAATTAGTCAGCAACTGTTGATCAACCAACAATAGACAAATTCTTTAAGCCAACACCTGAGCCAAAGAATATCTTAAATCCACTAAGCAGAAAATGGTCCAAACCGTACCATTATTGTGATGATTTAGGATACATCTAGAACTTGAGGGAAGCAAGGTCCAGTTTTTCTCTGTGTGGCCTGCACTTTGATGTAGTCCCTTTGGTCTTTTGCTATACCAACCAGAAGAAGCTAAGCCCCTCTACACATGATGCACTACTATACTCTCTGGAGTTTGAATCACTGTACTCACATCCTTCTAATCTTGCTGCCAGCAGTGATACATTATAACAGGGGTGTGGATTTAAAATTCAAGCTCAGGTGAGCAAGTTTCTTTGAGCAGTGGTCCAAATTGCAGTCAGGACAGAACGGACACTCAGTCCGCTATTTAGGCTGCATGCACAGCCACAAACACACAGCTACTGGAGTGTGTTCCCAGGCAGAGTGCTGATGCACTGATCCCAATGCATCACAGTTTCAAAAAAACAAAACAATTGTCAGAACTGTATTGAAATGGGAAGTCACATTTCATCAATTTCTATGAGTAAGGGGGCATCTAATGTAAGGAGTGACTCCGATGACAGCAACGCCACAGTCCAAGCAACCAATGACTGCACAGGATGAGGACACTGGACTGAAGAGGAACCTGCGCTGAGTTACGGCTGGCTGTGGAGGTACCAGCCTCAGAGGCTGGCGCATCCACTGTAAAAGGTGCCAACACAACTTGTGATAATCGCGGGAAATCCCGCAGTCGTACGATTATCGCAAGGTGTGTGGAAGGCGTGCGACCTCTGCTACTGTAAGGTCACAACTTTTATCTTAGGAACATGTTCGAAAACCCGCCGAGAATCATACGATTGTCGGCGGGTGTGTGGCATGTTCGTAAGATAAATGCCTCACGGGCCGGTGTGCGCAAGAGCAAACTGCCCCTTCAGCATTGCAGTCTTTGGAAGCCCGCCCCTCAGCAGTGTGGGCTTGCAATCTTCGCAAGTACGATCTGCCTGTCCAAGATGGGCAGATCGTATGTTTTTTAAAATTACCTTACAACCATCGCAAGACAAGTCTTGCGATGGTTGTAAGGTGTGTGCCCAGCATAAGCCAGCCATAACCCAGCGCAGGTCGGTGATCATATAAAAGCTTTCCTAGTCATCGCAAAAATAGTTTAATTAAACTCCAATAATTTGGCATGGGGTGGGGGCAATATCTCAGCTACATCTAATGCTTGCCTAGTGATTAGACTGTGAGGTTTGGCATTATCTTGCTGACATTTGCTATTTTTACCTCGTACTCATGGGTAGTCCAGTTCATCACATGATTTCATACCATGTACCACTCGCAGTACCCGCAGCTTTAGCTAATCAAGGCCTTGTCTCATACCTGATGGCTTCAAAAATCATCTCTTCAGAAATAGTCAATATATGGCATTCTGAAATTAGCAACTTGCCATATGTGTCTCTATGTTCTCCAGACCTTCTATGTTCATTTAATTAGGTCTAATAGATTCCTCACTAAACATAACAATTTCCACTTCATTATCCGATTCGGCTTTGGTACAATGACCCCCCCCCCCAGCAGCACAGAAAGTCTGATGTCACACAGCCACCTCCATCAGCCTCAGTTCCTCCCATGGATTGATACTCTGCTGTTCTCCTTTGCTGCTGAGGTAGGGAATATACCTGATGTCATTGGTTGCCAGGAACGCTGGCAGCCCTAACAACCAATGACGGAAAAGGAGGGGAGACCTGCGCTGGGTTATGGATGGCTGTGGAAGCCCTACCCTCCAAGGCAAGCGCATCCACTGTCAGTCAGCCATAACCTGGCACAGGTTGGCAATTGTGGTCCAGTGTCTGGACTGTCATTTAGGGACTCCTGCATTATAATATAAATGTTGGAAGAGTGTAGGTAAACATAAGGACCTACTTAAATATGTTCATAATGACCAGATTCTTTATGTCAATTTGCTTAATTGGCCACTATGCCAACAATTAAGCTGTTGCTTTTCCACTCATGTTCTTCAATTTCATGGAACCTGTTCCCTTGTAACTTTTTCATTAAGTATGTTGCCACATATAAAAGTCAGGTGGGAAAAAAAAAAATGCAGCATTTTCCAAAACTACCAAATAGACCAGAAAAATCAGGTAGACAACCATTAGCAGAGAAGTACACTTATCCTCTGTATATATAAACACAAGACATATGAAAAAGTTTATTATTAAAATGTGAAAACACACTGTTTTACACATAAGGACACAGATTCCAAGTCCAACCGTAATGTCACATTTCTTTCCATAACCACGTCAGTAGTATGCAGTGCAGGTTTGATCTCTAAAATGTTCATGGCCTTTAAAACATAGTTCTTCATTTGCTAGATCATGATTTAGGTTGTCAGATTTTTATACCATGAAACTAGGTTTTCTCTTCAGCCTCGAAAAGCCACAACTAGTGCATCTAAGTAGACATTGTAATACAGTCCTGTCCTCAATGTATCATTCACTGTGTAATACAATTATCCCCCATGTCCTGGGCATAACGATCACTTATGGTGGTGCGTAGATCCTCAATGTCCTTCTTAAGCTGTTTTATTCCATTCACATATCTTTCAAGAGACACCAAATCTGAGGGTTCTTCTTGGTCTTCCACAATTGATGTTGCTATTGAAAAAACAAATTTACCATTAGAGTTAACAATATGTCATGAAATAACTACACACATCTATGTAGTTATGAACCTCTTCATCCCCATATTCCCTCTGTGTATGATCTGTACATTTAATGCATCTAGTCCACAATTACCAAACTTCATGTTTACAGACAGTGTCAAGAAAACCTTTGCCATGACCCTGGAAAGCATCCTCCAGTGACATACTAGATAGAACTGGGAGGCACTGTAAAGAAGGATCCAGCACCCGTGGAGCAACTATAGGATTGCCCTGTGGGGGACATAACTTGGTAGGGCTGATCGATATTTACCCCCCCCTCCCCCAATACTGGCATGTTTCTTCATTTCCAAAAACCTCTCTCTCACTCTCTCTCTCCAAATATCCAAAATAGGTCATTTCATGGGTTTTCAGACTGTCCTGACATTTTTATTTGCCATGTTGTATAGTAGAAAGTAAGGGAAACTTTATTGGTCCTTTTTTCATATCGTTAATAACCACTCTGAATTTTCTTTTTAATTACCACCAAAAGAAAACTGCCTAGAAAAATATAATTATTTTTATTATAAATGTGGACACACTTACAGTTTACTCCTAGTAGCATGGATAGGTTAGGGTCCGAGCCCTGCATTCTTTGGCTCAGCAGAGTGCAGACAGATCGTAGGTCCTTTTGACAGCGATTCATCTCTTTGTAAAGCTTGAGAAGTTGAGCAATCTCCATTTGTGTCGGTTCTCCCTTTACACAAGCCAGTTTCAGCTGCTCTTGTAGGGTTACATTGCGCTCTATTAGGTCTTGATTTTGGATTGCCAACTGAAAGAATACAGACATTGAGCTTATTCAGTAAATGTGTTCAAAAAACAAATGGTAAAGTAAAAGGTGCCCATACACTGCACGATTCTCGTACGAGAATTGCAGGAATCGTGCAGTGTATGGAAGGCGTGCGACCGTTTCTAATGTATGGTCGCACAACTTTTGTATATCGAGCATGTTGGAAAACCAGCCGAGAATCGTACGATTTTCGGCTGGTTAACATGATCGAGAGATCACTGCCGAACGGGCCGGTGTGCGCACACTGCCCGTTCAGTATTGGTCATCGGAAGCCCGCCCCTCAGTCACGAGGCGGCCCAACTAAGTCATCTCGTGGCCCAACGAAGTACTGATAGGGTGGTCATAATAATCTGGCCACTCAGTGTAGAGATACTATGTAGTGTAGTATTCCACAGATACTATGTGTGTTGAGAGGTAGAATGAGCACTGCTGCAGCACAGTCACGCTTTGAGTGAGGAGTCGGTGGAGCCTGGTATGGCAGTTCCCTGTATATCTTGGAAAATCTTACCAAAATGCTATCAGTCCCTGCAGCTTTACAGATTGGAAACACAATTCTTGCCTCCAAATTGTGTATGGTCAAAGAAGTATATAATTGGTCACATTTCGGTGATAATTTAAGTAGGGTTTTTGAAGAAAGAAATTGAAGATAATTTTCTTGTTATATTCACTCATGGGGAATCTACTGTACTATCAAGCAGTAGATATATGCCCCACGATTAAATAAAAAGAATTAGGCAAATACCTAATTACTTACTGATTCTCACTCCTGGCTGTGAAGAAGTGTGCGGGCACATGTGCAGTAGAGGGGAGGGGGGAAGAACAGACACTGAAGCTTAATGGATGCAGCCGGGAGCACGCACGTCGGACAGACACAAGGAGTCTGCGGTGGATAAGAGACCGACACTAGCGCTGAAGGGAATGTCAGAAACTGGTGGAATTAAGATGATCGGGTCAAGAGCAATCAAGTAAGGCGGGGGGGTGACCTTTAATGTCACTAAGTATTCTGTAAAATACTCTAATTCTCTCTTTAGTGCTTTACAGGCACAGGACTCTAAACGTTGTTCTAAAGAGTCTAGCTGCAGGATCACAGTCACAGGTGATTTCCAAGAGAAAGACTTTTAGCCCAGTTATAGCAAGACGAGCTGGCTTACCTCTTTCACTGCAACCTTCAGCTGTTGTAGAGCAGCATCTTTTCGCTGAGATTCTTCTCTTAAGGCCTGCCCCATGCCCTCTTCATGACCCACATGCTCTTGCAACTCCTGCAAAAATGTAAGGAAATAGGGTGCCTTAGAACAGCCACAATGTGTATTATTGTTAGTGCCATAACCTCTGGACTGTAAAGTAGGGATGCGCCGATACCGATACTAGTATCATTATCTGTGCCGATAGCGAGTATTTGGGTGAGTACTCATACTCTCCCAAATGCTCCCCATGCCTATCCAAATACCAGAACTTCCAGTATTGGGAAGCCCGGCAGCAATTCATTACACGCTGCCCGGCTTCCTGATTGGCAGGGAAGGCGATTCCATGCTCCCTTGTAACCGGGAAGCATGGAGCTGGCTTCCTGGGCAATCAGGAAGCCAGGAGGTGGGTAATGACTCACTCCCCAATTTCCAGATTGGCCGGAAAGCCAGCTCCATGCTCCCTAGTCACCAGGGAGCATGGAGCTGGCTTCCCGGCCAAATCAGGAAGTCAAGCGCCGTGTAATAACTCGCTGCCCAGTTTCCTAATTGGCCAGCTTCCTGACCAATCAGGAAGCCAGTGGCTGAGTCATTACCCGCCCCCTGGCTTCCTGATTGACATGAAAGCCAGCTCCATGCTTCTTCGTCACCTGGTGATGGGGTCGGCTTCCTGTGTGCGGTGATGCAAGTTTACAGGGAATTTAGAGTAATTAATTTTAAACACAGGAGAGGATTTGCTACAAGTGCAAAAAAGGTAAGGCTTGAGTTCAGCTTTAAACCTTGCTAAAACACCCCAAAAACAAATAAAAAAACAACAACAACAACAACAACAACAACAACAGCGCTACAACTTAAAATCGGACAACAAATAATTGATAGATAACATTAATAAAGACGTGTGGTAAAATAGGATTTTTTCATTTACCGTAAAATCAATTCCTTGTAGAGTCACACAGGAATTCAGGAACTGTTGGGTTAAACTGCCACCTACAGGAGGATTTGGACATCAGCAAAAAAAAGTGGCCAGCGCAGCACAACCTTTCTACTCCTAGCATGCCTCACTTGGAGAAAAGCAATATCAAGAGCATGAATATAAAAACACAGAGGGGTTCCAGCTCTGTCTCTCAATGAACTACAGGAAATGGTAAGTACAAAAATTTATTTAGCGTTCATTGAGGGACAGAGGAATTTGGGCACTGTAAGGATGTCCAGAAATAGCTGAGAAGGCAAAAAAATAAAAATAAAAAAACCTAACAAACCCACAAAAGCATCTGAACCGGGGACTGCCTGCTACCTTTAAACAGAACTTCAGGATTTTTTTTTCTAAAATCAACCCTTGCAGTGGGGTACCCCCCGCACTGCAAGGGTTAAAAAATGATGGGGAAGTTCACAATCTTTTCCTTGCAGGGAGCAATGACTGTCAATCACTGCACCCCACAGGGATCCCCCCCCCCCCCCTCTGTTCCTCCATCCCTGACTGGAGGATTACATAGGGGAGGGCACAGCTGGCTCCGCCTCTAGAGATGCAGAGCCAGCTGTCAATTGGGTGGCAGGGTGGAGCCCAACAATATGGTCAGGAACTTTCCTAGCCGCAGCGTGGCTCTGCACTGTCAGCAATAGCCCACTATATGCTGAGTTTTGGGTCACAGGATGACATAGTAAATGTCCTCCTAGGACCCTAAAGAGCACTATGGCCAAAAAAAGGTTGGCCCATAGTTCTCTTTGAAGCTTCTCACAGTGCTCCCTCCAGCCATTCCCCTCGTCTTCTGCAGGCTGAAATCTTCCTCAGCATCCTCAGGCCTATGCACTGTGTACAGATGTGATGATTTACCGGACCTTAGAAAGCTGCAGAGGAGGGGGAGAGACATTCCTGGGACCGGTCTAAAGAATCCGGCCGGGAGGTTGGGGCGAGTAATTCTTTGTTTTAAATCTAGAAACAAACGAGCAGTTAATAAAAAAAATACTTTATGCCAGAAGCTGGCATCAGATGAGGCCTGAACATTCACCTAGTAAAACTTGAGAACGTGTGAACAGAAGACTAGATGACAGCCTTGCAAATCTGGGAAACCGTAACCTAATGCCAAAAAGCTCAAGAGGTACTTACAGATCTAGTAGGAGTGGGCCCTCTCAGGACTTTAAGCTTGACGATGATCTGCCTGAGCCACTGAAAAAAGGTGAAAGAAGAACGGGGACCATCAGAAATGACAAAGTGTCAGTCTTTCTAATGGAAGCAATGGAGATAGATTTTCTTCTAATGAACTGGAAAGAGGGATATAAGAACAATGTCCTGGTTGAGATGAAAGGCAGAAACAACCTTAGGAAGCAAGGAGGTTCCGGGTCTAACCACCACCTTGTCCCTGTGCAAAAGCAGAAAGTGTTCTTTACAGGATAAAGCTGCCAGTTTGGACACAGCAGTGATGACAAGGAAAGGAACTTTAGAGAGTGGAAAGTGGGCTATCCCACATGAGCTCAAAGAAGAGCCAAAAAGAACCAAAAATGCAGATCCCATGGAGTGGTTGGGGATTGTACAGGTGGAGCCACATGAGACACTCTGTACAAAAGTCTTCCTAGCCTTTAGCATCATGGGAATCACTGATTCAGAGATGCCCCTGTCCCTCAGGACCAGGGCTTCAGGAACCAAGCCGCTAATGTCAGCGACCGTGAAGCAGGATGGTACACTGGTCCCTAGGACAGAAGATCTGAACAATCTGAAGAGCATCCACTGCTTCTGCTAGGGGATCCCTGCACCTAGGGGATCCCTGCACCAAGATGTCCACATCCAGATCCACAGTGGGGGCAACACACTTTTTAAAAAGGCCTCCTCAAACAAGTACAGGGTGTGAAGCCGTTTTGGAGAGGAGAACAGCTTGTCAGGTTCTCACAGTCTCAAAGTATGAATGGATACAGCAGGTGCACTCAAAAGGTCTTGGCAGTCTTAGGGCTCATAAAAGGAACCAAGGCTGGGGACATTACTGGCAAAAACTGCAGACTGATCAAGTTTTAAAGTGGCTCGGGCAAGGTGTAGTATCAACTGTTAATGTCTTAACTTAGTGGCTAAAGGTTTAGAGACTGATAATGCTGGGGGCAGGTCAGCTAAGGATTCTGCAGAAGGTGAGGAAGTACACCTTTGACTTCTGTGGTCAGAGTGAGCAATCAAAGTTGCAAGTCGGCCTCTAAAAACCTGCCAGGAGGTTTCCCCAAAGAAAAGATTCCAGGCTGTCTGTCAGGCTCTTCAGACAGTCTACTGTAGGCAGCACTGAAACCACTAATGGATCATGATCTGGAGACATCTGTTCCTGCTGCGTCTAGGTAGAAGTAGTAGATCAAGCGATAACGTTAGACCTCAAGAACCAGCTGCTGGTAGCAAGAGAGGCTTAGGCAGCTGAAGGTGACCAGATCACTCTAGGTGGGCAGCAGACATGAACACCAGAAGATGGATCCACATGACACTTGCAGTCAAAAGCAGCAGCAGGAAGGTGCTTTCTCAATGCTAAATAGCAGTGAAAAAAAAAAAAAAGCATGTCGCACGCCCGACACGCAACCCAGTAGATAACATAAGTGACGAGTCCCTCAGCGTTAACCCCTTCTGTGGTACACAGATGGAAAGTGGGTATTTTATTGGCACCCAATAATCATAATGAGGTAGCTCCCAGTGCTTAGCCTGCACGGCCTACTCAAAATGAGTCTTCAGAGACAGGATCATATCTGGGGCTGTGCCATGGCTCTGGAGGAAGAGAGTGCTCTGGAGCCAACAGTAAATTGAGGTCTGGAAAATGCCACATTGCAGATCCCAGTGCCTGATGGTCACATTCCAAGCTAGCTCTGTAACTGTCCAGTTCTGTGGGGTCCGGGTACAGCTTTCTAAGCTATTGCAGAGGAAACACCTCTACATAGCTGGGCATAGAGACCAGCTCAAGCAGCTGAGAAATCTTGAAGAAAAAGAGGAAATCTTGATTGAAGAGAAAACAAATAGCTGGCAAAAAAAGATTAGACTTTTCTCAGCAGAGCAGAGAAAAGGCATCCATCCCTCCTGGACAATAGCACAAAAAAAAAAAAAATTGAGATATGCTGGGAGGAAACATTATATTGGGCTGGCCACAATTTTAATTGGTTTGCTAGTGTCCAAATTCTCCTGTAGTTAGTATAACAGTTAGCAGTATAAACACAACAGTCTCTGAAGTCATGTTTCTCTTAATAAATGAAATATCAAAAGGTGTATTAAAATCACATACAGAGTCCACTATTTTTCGTGACCGAAAAAATTTTGGCTTTCTACCACCTATATATATATATATAAAACATAAGTATTTCATAAGTTCCTTTATAGACAGTAGTTCTAAAACCCACAAAATGAACAACATACAATGCTGCAGGTGAACAAATTGAACTTAAAAAAATAATATTTTAACTCTTCTTGTAGAAAATACAAATATGAATTGAGTAACTTTTGGACAGATGAATGACATTGTGTAGTTGGTCAACTTCACTACCAATAAACTCACACCTTGCTAGTGTGAGAGAATGAATAGATTGGGCTACTAGGATATGGAGAAACGAATACACAAAACAGTTTACATTTTTCTTCACTGGAGTGTGCATGGGACAAACATTATCTCCTTTCTCTCCTTAGTCCTTCACATTGGGAAAGTCAGTGGCAACAAGGGATAGGAATAGGCATGGGATTGACCAAATTAATTCAAGTGACGGAGGAAGGCACAGTGCGTGTGAGCAGAGACGACAAGCGAGCCATGAGGCCCGATGGATGAAATACTTAAACTATCGTGATTATGAATTTAGGAGTGAAACAATATACAAATGATTATATTAGATGTTGAGATATATTGATTTTAAAAGCAATATTTTGACAATTAGTTACTTACTATATATGGTAATTCTATTATGCTCTCCTATAAAACAAAGGAGTACCATCTACACAACCCTACCACAGCACAAGTCCCACTGGCGGCTGGCTGAGTGATGACTCGCAACTCATCACTATAGGAATCAAGCCACTCTTTGTTGCACCCCTTGAAATTCCATCTCACACACCTGGGAGTGTGGGCACCTCAAGCTGGGAAGCCCTGTTTTTAGAAGACCCCCATTATGTACCTTTCTTAAGCCTTCCTTATCTTTTTGAAGAGATTCCACTTCCTGTTGTAAATCCTCTGCCTCCTGTAATAACCTCTTTTCTTCCACTTTCCACTCTGTGGTTTCCAGCTTCTTTAGTTCCATCTGTAAACTAACAAGCAGATCATTCCAAAGTTACAAGATTGTAGATTAATCTATTTGGCTTGTGTGCATCTTCAATCATTCATTGGCTACCTTTCAATGGTATTCCAATACTCCTGTGCTTTGAAATTCTCAGCTGTCAGCTTGGTTTCATTCTCCCTACAGGTTGCTCTAGCTTCTGCCAGTTTGTTTTCTAGGTCACTCACTTGCTCCTGCAGAAGGCAGTTCTTCTCTTGGAGTTCATTCAGCTGAAAGAAAAGTAAATAAAAAAAAAACAATTCAACTTTCAACTTCCTGTAACAGGCTAAGCTGTCCAGCAGAAGCGACAGTCTTAATGGTCAACGCAGCTGTAAAATCAACAAGCAGGAGGCACTGCCTGCATTGGATTGAATGAAAGCACAGCTGCCTGTAGTTCACAGGGGAGAGTGACAACTGTGCTGTACACTGGGAGCTGGGGATCATGCTATTCATGAAAGCCTCAGAACAGAAATATATATATTTCTTTAATATTTAATAATTTTTTTGGGGGGGGGGGGCTGAAATAACGAAAATCGATTATAATCTATAATGAGAAACATTGTCAAGGATTCTCAATCATCGATTAGTTGATTTTTGATTAGTTGAATCCTCACCACTGCCACTCTGCTCCTCTATTCTCTCTGGTGCTGGCTACAGCAGCCTGTGTCCCTTTCAATCCTTGCTGCTCTTCCCACAAAAAATAAAATTAGATGTATTTTGTAAATGTATTCTCCATTTCATTTTATGGTTGTCGTTTATTATAAAAGGTGAAAAAGTTTCTGTAAATAACATTGTATAACATTTAACAACCAGCATGGATGGAAATCTGGCAACAAAGTCACATTTCAAACATCTTAGAACTGGACCACAAACATGAATTTCTAGAAGGCATCAAGCAAAAGCCATGTATCTGGCATATACAGTAAATAACACAGAACTTTATTTCAATAGGGGAGAAGGAATTAGAAATACTGTCAGGATATCTGATGTAGAGATCTAAACGCACATAATGCGACAGATGGTTTCACCACTCTATGAACTGTAAATATAAAACGATTTCAGTGGCGAGTGACCAGTGATCCTCATCATCATAGGTCTAATCCCCTCTCCCCCCCGCCTCCTTTAGCTTTTATGGGTATACAATCTTTACATGGTGTCACCAATTAATCCCCAAGTGCAAATTGCTGCTGCTCTTCCTATCAGACGTTGCAGCTACTGCCTCCATGTACTGTTTCCAAGGTAAAAGCTTGGGTCTCACCATTATTACTACAACACAGCTACGCTTCCTGACATATTCCAGAAGCCTGGTGGAAAACGGCATAGTGCAGTGTACAGGTAATAACTACTGTGACAGTGAGGCATTACCATGAAGGTGATCCATAGCTTCCAATATTCCCAAAACATTTCTAGAGACATTTTGTCCTAAAGCTTTATGGTAAAATAGCAGCATGCTAAATGTGTTTTGGCATATTAGAATTGTGACCATAACGCAAGTGGTTTAAACGTTGTAATTAAATAGTGGCTGATCGATCAACCTCTGCATGTTCTGGACACTGCACTTACATGGTAGAGCATCCGTAGTCACATGCTATTACCAATGAATTGTGGCTGAAGTACTTGGTCATGTATCCAGGAAAGGGGCATCAACATGGTTTAAAAAAAAAAAAACGAAATACAGATTACTGTCAAAGGATAAAAACTGGATCTACAAGTAGATCCTGAAACAAGGGAGATTGGGAGATTGCAGAACATAGTGTAAATTTCTGTTCATTTTCTGACTCTTACTCTACTGCTTTGATGTTTATTTCCTCATACCACTGCTGACATGCAGCAGATATGGGTGCCCTGCAAGCAGTGACTCATTGTGTGGCATTACCTGACGTAATTGTTTTTGGTGGTCCTGCGCAGTGGGAAGATCAGCCATGTATCTCTCCAATGACTCAATCTTCTGCTGCTTTTCCTTGTTCTGCTCTGCCTCTTTCTGACACTTTTTTTTCAGAGAATTAATATGCTTTTCTCTTCCTTTCACCTGAAGGGAAAATAAAATAAAAACACAAATTCAAAAAGGAAAATATAATTGGATGTAAAGCCAATACAGAGGCTCTTAGTCTGTATTGGTCTAGGTGACCATTACCTCTGGTACAGAAAGTGATGTGAAAAATCAAAATATTTGATTTCTCTAGAAAACAGGAGGAGAGGAGAGGGACATCTTCCAATGGGGACACATGTTTCAGTAAAGGATTTACCCTCACACTGGGCAGATCTATTACTTCCAAACCATTCCCTACTCTATCCAATTACTAATAAAAAAAATGTTTGGCTTTACATACACTTAAAATATGACCACAGCGCTGTGGTTTAGAATAAAGAGACAGCAAACAGGGCTGTTTGCTCTGAGCACAGTATGTTCTATTCAAACTTTGGATTAAGCCATCTGATAAGTAAATGATACGAGTCCCTATTGATAGGGGACAGAAGCCCAATTACACAGCTCAATGACTTAAGATGCAATCTGGGTTTAAAAAGGAGCCCAAAGCTCCATCAAAAGCAGAAATAATGGTATTTATGCAACGACTGTAAAATTATCATCTTGGAGTTCATTGAGAGACAAAGAAATTGACATACCATACAGCTAGATTTAATACTGGCAAAAGAAAATCTAGAAGCCAGTCCCCTGTATAATTCCTCCCCTACCCAGCATGCTACTGTTTTGTGTTGAAATAGTACCAAGAGCATTAAAGGAAACAGAGGGATGGAACCTGTATCTCAATGGACGAGAAGAAAAAAATATAATCTAAATTTTCCCTTCTCTTCTATTGATGGACACAGGAATTCGGATACAGTCGAGATGTCTAAAAGCAGTCCAACTGAGGGGTGGGCAATACAGCAACAACTGCTAACGGGCCCAAAAGGAACTAGGGACTGCCTGCAACTCAGAGTCAGCCTATAGGACCAATGTCTGAATCTGAACCGGATGAGGCCTATTCCCATGCCAAACAGGGGAGCTGTCAATATGACCAGAGGGAGGGCATGGAGAATTAACTTGCAGCTCAGGCCAGGAACAAAGGGCCACCACCATGTGGGAGGGGATCACCAAATTTAAATCAGCAAGCAGCAGTTCAACCAGAAACCACCAAAAACAGGTGGAACAACAAAGTTTTTCCACGTAGGGAAGAAAAAATATTCACAACATGATGTGGTCAACAAGAAAAAGAGGCCAAGCCCCTGGTAGGAACAGGCCCAAAAGTGAAACCTCTACAAAAAAAAAAAAAAAAAAACAGGTCCTGCCTTTAAAGTGACACTAAACTCAGGAACTACACCATAAAATGCATTCAAGTACCTGAACCATTAACAAAAATGTAGCTTATTTGTGTATCACTTGGCTGTAGATCCTCAAATCATCTCTGATTATGTACTGACACTGTCCTTCCTTCTGGAGGAGAGCTACCTTTATTCCCCATGGTACCTGTGTGTTATAAAGTATCCACCGCCCCAAGCTCACTCCCGTGATGGACCACAATCTCACTTTTAGCTTACTAATTTGTATTGAGATTGTAGTCCATCACAGGAGTGATCTTGGAGCTGTGGCTACTTTACAACACACACAGGGACCATGGAGAACAAAAGTAGCCACCCTCCAGAAGGAAGGACAGTGTTAGCACCAATTCAGAGATGATTTGAGGATCTACAGCTGACTGATACACAAATAAGTTACATATATGTTAATAGTCAAGGCACTTGAATTTTTAAGATTTAATGCCCAAGTTTAGTGTCACTTTAATTTCAAATTCAGAATGGATAGAGTTCGGATTTCCAGATACCCATTACTTGGCATTTTTAAATCCAAGAGTCCCAAGGGTTTAAGTTCCACCTTGTATTCTCAACTATTACATGCCATTGTGGGAAATTTTCTCTAGCAGTTAGATCTAAAATGGCATGTGTGCAGTAATATTCAGCGCGATGGTACCCCAATAATGAGTGGAATAGAAAGCTGCTATGCTCAAAGTGTGACTACTTGCAATAATGTGAATCAAAAAGGTGAACAGCGCTAAGTATTCATGCAAATAACATTGTATAAAATGCAATCTAGTGCTAGATATAAATCAAATCAATAAATCCCAAGAGGAAGGTGCATTGCAAATACTAATAGTTCATCAGCAATAAATAGTGAATAATCAACCAATCAATATATTGTATATCAATTTCATTGATATACAATAAATAATGCAACACATACTCTGAATATGCAATAAATGAATGATCGTGCAATACCATAAAACCCTACAAAAATATAAATATATAGTGTCCAATCAAAAGTTTGTGGTAGTGGTTCAGTAACAACGTGCATCACACAGACTAGCATCCAAAACAATTCCAATTAAATTCCAAAGTGGAAAGCAATCCAACAAACTGCTCAGAAATGCTCTAAGAGTAAAAACTAACACTCTCCCCATGAACAAACACAGATCCCTTTCAAAGCAATCAGCAGAATTAGTTGAGTTTAAAAATAGATGGTGAGAAAGGGCACGATGTAATATTAAAGGCGAGCTACATTCAATTGCTTGTCCGGCTCATCCAGTGCTCCTTCCCGATCCATAAAGCAGTCAGTCTCCCAATACAACGGTCACCGTTCACATCACTGTTGATCCTGCCAGAAGTCCAGAGATATCTCGAGTCCTGTGGCACATTGGGATTTAATTGGAATTGTTTTAGACGCTAGTCTATGTGTGAAGCTCATTGTTACTGAACAGTGTTGCAGAACCACATATTTATAGTATTTATTGCATTATTGTATATAAATTATTGGATTGATTATTCACTATTGCTGATTATTAGTATTTGCATTTTCATCATTGGATAGATTTATTGATTTGATTTATATTTAGCACTAGATTGCACTTTATACATTATTCTTTGCATAAATACTTAGCGCTGTGCACTTTTTGATTAGATCTAATTGGCAGCAGTGTATCCCGTCCTTGTCAGATGAGGATTGGTTTTGTTTTTGTACTTCGTATTCAAAACAGTCACACCAGCTGTCAACAATAAAATGATACAAATCTATACTATTCATCAAGAGTATTTAACACCTGTACAGCTTTATAGGATGAAGAACATGTCCACGTCAAACTGTTTATGGTGTTCTCAACCAGATGCAGATTTTCTTCAAAATGATGCAACACTGCCAGTTAATTTCTGATTACTGGCAGCAGGCAGATTTTCATTGGTACTATCAAAGCCGTTTTGCCTATATACCAGAGGTGTGCCCTTTTGACGAGGAATTGGACGGTCTCGGTATTCTAGAATTTTCTGAGAATCATTGTTTATGGCACAGAAATGAGTAACTGTTACTGTAAACATCTGCAGCCAGAGGACCCCAGGATCTTCCAATGGATCTCCACGGTCAACAAGGTGATCCCGTATGAGAAAATCATCAATCTCAATAAAAATTGCCTGGACAAGTATTGGAAGATCTGGGCGGAACCTGGGTTGGCCTTTAACCCCACCTAGGTGGGGGTGATATAACCAACCCTCTTTTCTATACTTTTGTATTTCTTTACATTCTACGCTACTTCTTGGTTTTGTATATGTTTGTTGTTGTTTTATATACAGTCACGTGAAAAATTAGGTACACTATGGAAACTAATCCAGAGTGAAATCTCACGGTTTATAAGGAACCACCTGTTCTGGGGTACCAAACAGCAGCCCGGGAGATGATTCTCCTATGGGAGAAACTTTTAAATAGGAGAAGACCCCTTACAAGTCAACTGAAGGATTGGCTTAGAAAAATGTCTGGGACTACGTAGTACATAGAGAATGACACAATGGATTCCTCAGGAATTACACCTACAACAATAGAGAATTGTTGGTTTTGCTTAGTGACCCAGTGCATTATTTACTTATATCAGAAGCCACAGATCTGTTTTCCAGGTTTATTCTTTTGATGTTTGAGCCTAGGTTATACCATTATGCTATCATGGGATCACTTTCTTTTTTTTCCCTGGTGTCACGGTTTATTTCTGTTTTTTCATTATTCATTTCTTTGTGACTATGCTATGTTTGTATACGTCTTCCCATGCCACTGAATCCTCATCTATCATGCTGTCTTTACTGTGTTTTATTCTGAGAATTTTTGTAGTATTCTGTTCTTGTATTTCTTTTTTGTTGAAAAGTAGTAATAAAAAGAGAATTTATAAAAAAACTAAACAAACAGTAGAGAAGGGGGGTGTATTGGACCAGGAAGATATGAGAGAAGGGGAGACGCCTCTGAAGGAAGTTTCCCACAAGACCCAATGCTCCCATAAAAAGGAGAGAGGGACAACCCTTTGTCTGATAATAAGGGATTGAAAGGTAGACATGCTGTGGATCATTCCAGCAAGGTACTATGATGATTATCATCCAATACAGGGGGCAACTTTAAATGCTGAAAGCTGACAAGGCCAAATCCAGCTGGAATTTGCAGGCGTTGAGCCCTGGGGAAGAGGTTTGTTCACCAATATCCACTAGGCCAACACTATGTAAAAAAAGGAGGCCGCATGTGTGCAAGTCAAAGCTTACTCTAAGTGACCTAGTAGGTCAGAGAATCCCTCTAGAGAGGACACTGGTGTGTAGCTAGTACTACTGAGAGTCTATGATGCCCCAAAAGAAAGGGAAGATCTCTTAGGAAGAGTGGTGGCTTGAATGGGCCTCGCTCCAAAAGGTGCAAGCTGACACAGGTAGTGGAAGAGGGGTCTAGGGGTGAGAGGAAACCGAGGGATCTGTTTGGTAGCATAGGGAAGAAAACAGGGAGTAACAGCAAAAAGTACCAGAAGCCAGGAGTCAGCCTGTGAGCCTAATGGGGAGCTCTCTGCACATAACTGGCTGAAGGGAAAACTACTGAAGCAGCCCCCCACTTGTAGAAGCAGGGGTGCATCTTCATGAAAAAGTTTCTTAGGAGGGTCTAGCTGGTCTCTGATTAAATATTTTATGAACTGCCTGGGGTCAGGCTCTCAGAGCCTGCGGGGATCCACTGCAGAAGTAGATGAGGGAGAAGGATGCAGCTCAGCCAACCTCTCCCTATACTTCCTGCATTGGGCAGGAGCACACTTTGGCCTCCTATGGAATCCTTGATTATGGCATCAAGTGCAAGACCAAAGAGATGTCATCCCTTTAAGTCCAACAAAGTCAGATGCTATTTGGATGTGGCATCAGCGTCCCAGCATCTTAACCAGAGAGCTCTGTGCATTTGAATGGACAGCAGACCCAATCAGGACATACATTTTGATGCTTGTATTAAGCTATCACAGCTGAAGAGTAAGACTCTCGACATCTATTCTACATGCTTAATTAAGAAGGGGCCTTCCTTGAGGTATCCAAGCCATTCTACTGTGGTTTGACAGACAAGGGTTACAGTCAGTACAGGAAGAAGGGCAGAGCCTACCAGGATAAACTGGGATGTAAGAAAGTATTCCAACTACCCATCAGAACCCTTAAATTTAAGCATGCACTGTCTAACAGATTTCCGTTAAGGTGCGTCACTGGGAAATCCACAGTGGGTATAGACCAGGATTAACAAATCTCTCTCTCAATGGAAATCATTCCAATCTCAAGTAGGGTCCAGAAACCTTCAAGGTGCTTTTGGCCACATTAGGACATGCCTTGAATAGCAGGTGTTGTTTAAAGGTAAAATATACACTACCTGGGCAAAAAAAGGCACCATCTGGATTTAGCTAAGCAAACAGGAAAGAGCTATTTGGGTTGCTTCAGTTGGTCATGTCTAGGTTCAGCAACATTATGTGCCCAAACTATGAGCTCAGCTAACTACCGTAATATAGTTACATAGTATTTGAGGTTGAATAAAGACATATTTCCATCAAGTCCAACCTATTTTGTGTGTGTATATAGGTCTTGAGGCATCTCATTCTTATGAGTACCTGTAAAGCTTCTTGAATGATTCCACACTATTTGCTGAAATCACTGCTTGTGGCAAAGAGTTCCAGACCCGAACCACTCGAACTGAGAAGAACCCCCTTCGCCCCTTGTGTTTGAATTTTTTTTCTACCAGTTTTAGGTGGTGGCCTCTAGTTTTTGTTACGGAATTAATCTTAAAGAGTTTGTTGCTAATGTTGCTATTACTATAGAACATCTTGTACATGAAAATCATATCCCCCTTAATCTCCTTACTTCCAACTACATGTTTAAATTTAGTAGCCGTGTCTCATAGCTCAGGTCCTCCATTCCCCTAATGAGTTTGGTTGCCCTGCGCTGGACTCCCTCCAGCTCAAGGACATCCTTTCTATGTACCGGTGCCCAAAACTGCACCGCATACTCCAGGTGAGGCCGAACCAGTGGTCACATCTTTCTGCCTTGAGGAAGGGACCCTGCGCGGTCCCGAAACGTCGGTTTATTTGGCTGTCTGTGACGCTTTCTGTCCAATAAAAGGGACGTATTTATCTTTACTACTGAGTGCTGGTGATTTCCTGACTTTCCTGTGTTTGCACGGCGCCATCCGTGGTATCTCATCACTGCGAGCACCACTTTTTTCATATCTGGCCGGGACTGATGTGAGGAGTGCGGAGGGTCTCTCCATCTACTTGATATACTGAATGAACATTTTCCAAGATGACAATGCCAGAATGGTTCAGGGAGCATGAAACTTAATTTTCACACATGGATTGGCCACCACCAGAGCTTAACCCCATTGAGAATCTTTGGGATGTGCTGGAGAAGACTTTACACTGTGGCTTGATTCTCTCCTCATCACTACAAGATCTTGGTAAAAAATGAATGCAATTCTGGACAGACATAAATGTTGTGAGATTGAATAAGCTTATGGAAATGATGCCAAGGTGAATGCATGCCGTAATCAAAGCTAAAGGTGGTGCAACCAAATATTAGAGTGACTTTTTTTCGTCACACACACTTACTCGCTCCTCTTGCCTTTTCAATTCATCTGAATGTTTTAGGGCTGCCTCCTTTATAGCCTCTCTCAGGTCTCTATTCTCTGCCTCCATGGCACACAATTTCTTCTCCAACTCTCCCTTCTCATGACCAGAAGACTCTGTTTTCTCTGCAAACTGGGCTCTTAAGAAGGTAACTTCTCGCTGGAGGTCCTAAAATAAAAACAGGACACTTTAGTCTGCTGGCAAAAAGGATACAAACAGGTGAGGGAGTGTCTGGTCTAAAAGGCACTTACTTGCAACCTGATGAGGCACATATCATTGTAAGGACTGGTTTGGCTTAAAAGAGTGTTGTGTGCCTTCATCTCACTCTCTCTTAGTCTCTGCTCAAGCTGAGAGATATGCTGCCATTGCCTGTAAACAGAAAAAGGGAACAAGGACTCTTTACGGTCAGTCCCATTTGACTGATAAATAGAACAAACAAATACTTTCATAGTTAGAATATCTGGGGGTGAATGTAAACAAGTATTAAATCAAAAGAGCCCCAAAATGTAACATTTATGCCTGGGCTCTGCAGGATTCTCTTGAGACCACCATAAATCACGTAGAACTGCACTGATGGTAATGTAATTGACTGTACAATACGATACATTCCCAGGCCTGAATTCACTCTATAGCAAAAATTAGCACAGCCCTGCTTGAGTTGTGCTGGCGGGGAACAAGCACAGCACAAATGCTTGTGTACACCTATCCGCGATGCATCTTTACAGCATTTTCCACCTTTGATACTGGGGGAAGGTATCAATTTGATTGCATCATGGGTGTTTTTTTTTAAATTATTGTATTTCTGATTTTAGTGCATAAAACGACAGATTTATTATCCTATTTTTTGTTTAATTCCTAAATATTTTCATAAGGAGAATTGTCACTGTCTCTAAAGTGTCTCCAAATTGTTGCAAGCTTGCAGGGAACCTCCTGGAGGACAGCTGAATAGTCCTCAAGGGCTGACATGAAGATGTGAAGGTAATTATCTTTGCGATACTATACAAGACATGACAAACGCACTTCTAGGATGTGTGATAGTTTGGAGGGCTTTTAATGTTGCAAATGCTGAATGTAAATACCACGCAGTTGAGAAATGATGCTGAATGTCAGAAAACATCTGCAGCAAGTCACAAACATTCAAGAACACTTAAAAAAACTCAGACGGCTCGGCCTGGATCGGGAGCTCAACCCCTTTCCCATGTTAATCCGGCCCAGAGTGCAAATGTACGAACTAGAGGTGCACCGAAATGGAAATTTAAAAACCGAAACGAAACCGAAATAAAAAAAAAAAATCTCAGGCCGAAACCGAAAACTTTTTTTATTTTTTCAAATTTTAATATTTTATTTTTATTTATGAATTCATTTTTTATAAAATATTTTTATTTTTTACTTTACTTTTAGGGGCTTTGGGGAAATATTAGGGGTCTAAAACAGACCCCTGATATTTCCCATTTAAAATAGAAAAAGAGATTGAGAACAAACAGTCCTCAATCTCTTTTTCTGTATCCCCCGTTATCAATGAACAGGAATCCTCTACGAGTCTCCCTGTTCATTGATAACATTGTTTGTTTACTATAACTACAATTATGAATGAATGGGGGTGATGTTGATCACTTCCCATTTATTCATAATTGAGGATATAGTGAACATACCATATCCTCAATTATGTACAAACACTCAGCGATCACTGATCACTTAGTGTTTGTACCTTGCTCTTCTCTCCGACACGTTGCCACAGGAGGTTGATCGAGCAGTGTAGGGAGGAAAGCCCAGCCTCCTGTGACATGCTGTCTCCGCCCCCACACAGCTCTGCCAGACTGTGATAGGCGGCAGAGCGGTGTGTGAGGAGACGCCGGCCGCTCACAGCGCTCGGCCGGCTGTCACTTTCTCTTCATCCCGCTGGGACATAGAGCAGCGCCCAGCGGGGAGGAAAGAAACCTGGGATGCGCCTATGTATAGGTAGGAAAATGGCACTTTCGGCATTATGCCAAAAGTGCCATTTTCGGCCGATATATCGGTGCATCCCTAGTACGAACAATTAAGTGCTGCAGGGTAAGTCTATTTTTTAAAAAAGGCTGTAGTCCTACAATAGTGCATTTTAATTGCTACTTGGTCAACCACATTGCAGATCATATAAATCTAAGGGCAGAAGCAATGCATGCAAGGAAGTCCTAAAAATCCCGTGCTCTGTACATGTTAAACAAAGCAACAAGTTCACTTTCAAGTAGAACTAAAAAGCAAAATAAAATTTGGTGGCAATGGTGAGGGGTCAGAACCACAGTTAGGTTTTTATTTCTGTCTGGATTCATTAGGGAGGTTCTGATTGTCCTGATCAACAATGTCACTTGGGCAAGTGCAAAATTTGAATACTTTAACAGAAGTTTTCTGATGGGGACACTTGTTCCTGTGACAACTGTCTAAAAGGGTATTTGCCTTCCATTAAAAAGATACCCTCTTACTTCCCGTTTAGTCTATAGAACAGGAGGTGAAGGTAAATATCCGTAAAAGGGTCACAGTGAAGAAAACAAAGCACAAAGAGTATGAACCCTCCCCTAATGTATCCAAAATGAAGTGGTTTGACATATACTATAAAGACCAACCCTGCACAATTTTTCTTCATGCCTTCTCTTTGTTACCCCAGTTTTGATAGGAAGTTGAAGCAGCCTAGTGTAAGCACTTATTCTAGCACAGTAAAGCTTACACAGGGCTGAGGACTCCCGGCCCTCATGTGACAGGACCGATGTTTGAGCAGCTGTCACAGAGGAAAGGGAGTCTTTTACATAGTACCCTATTACCTGAAGTATTGGGTAATTCTCTTTACTTCCAATGCAGCAGCAGGAGAACAAAGGGAAGGAGAGCATATGTAGTGGTGTGGACAGTGTTAAAAGGAATCTGTCTGTTTTTTTTAATGTTTTAGACATAACCCATTAATATATAAAAACACTAAATATGAAGTATACCATACTATGAATAATACATTTTTGGAATTTTCAATATATTATTTGTAGCCTCTTATAAATATATTTCCCCACCTTTCCAACATCAGCTGTTTTTCCAGCAGATTACCATCACTGGCCTTCGCAGCTCTCTCCCAGTCATTTGAACTTTGGTGTATTGCAGCAGGATGTATCAACATTGTGGGGTAGTCTCTCATAAGCTGAAATATATAAACGTACATGTTAACAGCATACTTTGTTAATACAGACAGAAATAAAAATCCATTAGTGTCAAATTCTTACCTGTAGTTTTTCCATGTTCATTCTTAGGTTCTCTGTGTACTGATTTTGTTGCCGTCTCCAAGCACTATATTCACCTGCAGAACACTGTTTAAATGAATCTATCCCCCATCCTTGATGTGTGGCCCCTGAGAAAACAGTTCTGCGCGTGAGTTCAGCTACTCCAGTCTCTTTGCTTTCAGGCAGAGCTTTGAAATGCGCAACTACTGAGCTAGCAGCTACTGCAGGGATTTCATGTTTCATATCGCTGCAGAAAGTATTCAATAGACCCGACTGGTTTAGGGTAGGTTCAATATTAGGCATTTCAAACTTTCTAGTGTCATCCGCTGTGGAAGGGTCCAACGTAGGTTGGGTTGAGAAAATCGATAAAGCAGCTTCTGTAGAAAGTGGGGCTCTGTCTTGAACATGTGTATTACTGGAAGACACTGCCAGTGTAGAAGGCACAACAAGAGCAGTGGGGATGGTAACCTGGCTTTTAATTGGCTGGAAGGACGTACTGCCACTAGCATTGCAGAAATCTGGAGAAAAAAAAAAAAATGTATAGCAATATCAGTCAACTGTATTATAGTGAAGCAGATAGAACATACAGAAGGCATAATGAAGCCTGGAATTTCAGAATTTAAATTATAGCAAATTAAATTTGCAATTGGGCCCCACACTGAGCTGCAGATTTGTTTTAAACCGTAAGGGGTTCATTTTTTAAAAATGTAACCCCCTCATGACAGTGATGTGACACTTAGCAACATTGTATGCCAGGTGACGACTATTATCTTTTAGAGAAAAATAAATAAAATGTTAGCTTGTAGTTTTAGGCTGAGAAGTACATACAATTGTCTAAAATCCTAGGAATGTGAGATGTTTCCAAATAGAGGACACATAAAATATTTAAAAAAGACATTGAATAATGAAATGAATATTTATCATGCCATTGCTAACTAAGGCTTGTATCCCCATAGTGGGGAAAATAGATTATCACATGTCCAGACTCCAGAACAATGTATTATTGTATAGTGATCCCTAATAATACGTATAGGTGCCCTTAGTAAGAAAATATATTACTGCTGTGTAATAATCACACAGCAAAAAAATGTAAAAAGTGCTTCAGTCATTACTAAACAGGCTGTCGAAGAGGTCGCTCAGTCGCAGAATGCAATCCTAGGACTACAATCTTATGTTCTACATGTGTCCTACCTTACCCTTGCAAGCATTCTGTTTTCACAACGCAATCATCAAATCTATTGATTTATTTCTGATCCATTTGAGGGGTGACAATTAGAAACTTTTTACTGAATTTTTGCTTCCTTTGTCAACTCTCCTCTCCCACAGAGTTACTGAGAAACAACAGCACATTGATGAGGCCATATCTGTTCTGTCCACAAAACCTAAATGGTACATTTACAGCACTATGGGAAAAAAAACAGAGCCCTGATTATTTGTCATTGTTGCTCCACCCTCTTTAACCCCGAGTGCGGCTTTGCCAGGGGATCACAGGCAGCTAATAAGACAAATTCAGATATTAACACCTGCAATTAAAATAGAGAATATAGGATGACGGAGAGGGAAGGCCCTAGGCCCCAAAAATAGGAGACTTAATCAAGGTTCAGAAGAGAGGGGTCAAAACCTGGTGGAAGATAGCTGTCTATACAAGGTTACCACATTTTGGTGTATATATAGAGTTCATACCCAAAATGGGTAATTACTCAAAGTGTGTCCCTAACATTTAGATAATACCAATTTAAATACAGGCCTCGGTTAAATGACACTAAAATGTACTCTCAGGGACTCGGAGACTGTATATAAAAAGGCACACCACCTGTCAGACAATGTGTGACCTCTGGCTTTCAAGCGTAAAGTGACACTAAACTTAGGAGTTAAATCTTAAAATGCATTGAAGTACAAAAAAGTACCCCATTTGTGTATCACCTGGCTATAGAGCCTCAAATCATTTCTGAATTGATGCCGACGCTGTCCTCCTTCCTTCTGGAGTAGGGCTGCTGCAACTAATGATTATTTTCGTAAATCAATTAGTTGGCCGATGAATCGGATAAAAATAAATAACTACAATCCTTAATTTAGATTGAAATACAAATGCAGTGTAACAAAGTTTACTTGGGGATAAAACTGCATGCACAATAGTTTGCAATCGCACTGCACTGGAGCACACGGCATTGCGGTACTGCGCGTTTGGGGTGCCATTGAAACTAATAGCACTGCCCGCAGCAGAATTTATCATGCCAAAACCGAAAATCACTTTTTCCCACCTTTAATCATTTCTTTTGTATTAACTGTATTGTAAGCATGTGGCACTTGAATAGCAATAGCCAGGAAATGACAGCTGCCAGTGGCAGGAGTCTGCAGGCGGCAGTTGAACGTAGATACAGCAGGTAGTGGGCTGATGCCATAGCCAGCCTGCTATTTGCCATTTCAAATTGCAAATAGCAGGCTGGCTATTGCACCCACCCACTGCTTGCTGTGCCCTCCTCCCAGCATGGAGGAGAGAACTAGGGGATCCAATCAACTGATCGATAATGAGAATAGTTGAAAAGTATTCCAATTATAGATTAATTGGTTGCAGCCTTTTCTGGAGGGTGGCTACTTTTGTTCCCCATGGTTCATGTGTGTGTTGTAAAGTAGCCGCACCAAGCTCCCTACCGTGATGGACTACAAATTAGTAAACTAAACTAGAATTTGTAGTCCATCATGGGAGTGAGCTTGGAGCAGTGACTACTTTACAATACACACAGGAAGCATGGGGAACAAAAGTAGCCCCCCTCCAGAAGGAAGGACAGTGTCAGCACCAATTCAGAGATGATTTGAGGATCTAAAGCTGAGTGATACACAAATAAGATACATTTTTGTTAATAGTTAAGGTTCATGAATGCATTTTTAAGATTTAACACCTGGGTTTAGCGTCACTTTAACAGTCAGCGTCAGACAAAGGTAAACCTAAATAAAAGGGATCATATATATACACTTTTCTAAAAAGCCGAACTCCAGACGGATATAAAGACACACCTTAATGCAGCTCTGTTACCACCAAGACATGCTGGTAAGTTAACTGGCTGCGGTCTTAATTGGTCCTAGTTTATATATAAGAGAAAGGGACCTTCGATTGTGAGCTCCTTGCGGGCAGGGACTGATGTGAATGAATAGTATGTAAAATGCTGGATAAAAAAAAAAATAAAAAAAAAAAATGTACAACACTATATAAGAACATAAAATAAATATTCATTATTGAAAAAAATAAAGAAATTATAGTTATAGTTCCTGCATGCCTCATACACTCTCTCATCTGCTGAGTGTAGAGGGTCAGGCATTGACCTCGGACCCCCTGACACGCCAACTTAAAAAGACAGACATGTAGAAAGCAGGTAAGGAATATCTCTGATCACTACTGACTCTGACAAAGTGCTGCTGAAGCGATAAACATCATATAAGAAATGTGAGTTAACTTACCTTCTACATTTTTATTAGAAGGAATTTCTTTTCTGATCCCATGAGGGAAAGCCGTTCGACTATGAGATTTTCCTGATATTTGAGGAGTCTGCCAGTCTGTGTAAGAACTCCCAACTGGATGTACTGCTGTTGCTGTAACAGATGGCACATAGTGAAAAACGCAGAACGTTACCAATCAGCTATCCATAGACACATGGCAGCTTCAGCTTACCTATCCTGCTCGGCTGCTGGAATCCAAGAGTTTCCATAGTGTTACATTCACCTGAAACATCAAAACAGAATGGAATGCAAATTTAAAACACAATTTTTGAACAACAAGTCTCCTTAAAGCTGAACTCGTGGCAAACATTTGTCAGCTTCCTGTCAGTGACAATGCTATTCATTTTGCAGGTGAAATCACACAGCAGCGTTGTCACCCTGTGGACATGGTGGTCTTCAACAAGTAGTTTTAAAAGATCTCCAGGCGAAATGTCTTTTCTTAATTTGGGATAGCGTACGAAGGGTTAGAACCCCTGTCAGTTCTTTTTATTGCTATCTAGGGCTCACTTAGAGAGATGTATCCTTACTTCCTTTCCTGCTGACAATGTTTAATCAGACAGCAAAGAGAATTTTCCAATGGCAATATAGACGGAAAAAAATGCTTTTCTTTAGCAGAGTCGAGGAAGACTAAATCCCTGTCAAATGTTTAATTGTGTCTATGTTCTGTTTTTCCCTTACTTACTGTCTGGGAGTCAGATGTCTGCAGGACTGGAAGTAAACCCAGAGAGCACTAAAAGCCCAACAGAATTCCTAACCCTTCCTTACTCTATCCAAAACTAGAAAAAACATTTTGTTACTTGACATACACTTTAAGGACCTATTCACAGAAAGGTGGCCCCCTGTGGTGTGTGTATGGCATGTGTTGACATACGTTGCGTTAAAGCAGCCCATTTATTTGTCCCAAAATTGGACACGCACCAGGTTTGGAGAGGGCAGCACACTACAACACTACCGTGCACTGGCATATGTCTTGTGCGCTGGGGTACCATTCACAGAAGCATACCATTGTAAGTAATATGCGTTACTGCACTGTGCTACTATGAATCAGGAGTATAAAAATAGAATTAAAAAACAACTACTTGTCCAAGGACTAAAGTGGGGACCCAATCTACTTGTCCTGATAAAAAAAAAAAAAAAAAAAATGGTTTTAACCAAAACCGTATTTAACTGTGCTAAGTGCTTCTCATTGGTCAGCGCAGTCACGTGACTTTGCTGACCAACAAGTGCTGGCAATTCGCAAGTGAAATTCAAAATCCATAGCATGGGTTTAAAAGAGAACTATGGGGTAACCTTTTTATCCCATAGTTCTCTTTAGGATCACAAGAGGACATATACTAACCCCCTCCCATGACCCAAAGCTCAGCATATAGCTCGCTATATACTGAGAGCGCTGCAGCCGGTGTTCTATCAAACTTTGTGATTCGGTTAGAACGTGTGACCGGTGACGTGGTCACACATATTAACCCAATCCCACCCAGTTTTTCAGCAGTGGAATGTGTGACCGGTCGTGTGGACACACATTTTAACGTAATCTGAAGAATTCCAGCTGTTCCAGGGCAGATCGGCATCGCAGATCATATGTGTAGGAGAACCGATCTGCCCCGAACAGCTGATCGGTCCTGAAATGTCACTTCTATCCGACTTGTGATTTTTGATTTGGTTCATAGTTGAACTATAAACAGTACCGCCTGATCATCTTCCTCTCACTTGGGATCTTCAATCTAGTAACTTGTATTCCAAAAGACTTATAAAACAATACAGCAACTAGGCATCACCCAATTACTAAATACTACCATCATATGAATGAAGTCTCATAGTAGTACACCGGTGACACGAATCACCCTGAGCCCAGCTAACTCATGTAAATCCCGTATACACGGTAACTATAAATGGACTCACTGACACTAGAGGTAGCAGGCTTCTACAGGACTCAGATGGGGGCTCACCAGTGGTGGTAATCCGCTGCTACCCGGATCGGGGACAGGATAAATGACCTGATAACAGGAGCACCCGTACGGCAACGGATGAGAAGAAACAGACACCCGGAAGCTGGGCGGAGTCACCTTCAAACCGTCTCCGCGCAAACCTAGCCGAACCCAGCTTCTCTCTCCGCCAATCAACGAGCGCGGCGTCCTGCCAATAGCATAGCGCAGGCAGAGTGGGCGTTGTGTCTGGGAGCACGGGGACTTGTGTTGTGTATCCTAGGAGACGGTGGGTGGAGCTATGTAATGGAGGTCGTTGTTGTTGCGTTTGTCTGGTGTCATGATACCTCAGTCTGACAAGACTTTGTTAGGAACATAGCTCGTAGCATTTACCGATACATGTTAATGAGCAGCTTCATCCCTGTTTCATCCTGGGGTTCACATAGGTCACATTTACAGTTGTGCTTGGGGCAGTCTAACAAATTGCTCCATAAGACTCATGTGAACAGCTGCAGACAGGAAGTACTATGCTAGGACCACTGACAACACCTGCCTACATTCACAATGTAATCAGACATGCTGCAATTACCTGCGCATGACGCAAACTAGGGTGTCCACAGCCAATTGCAGCATGTCTGATTACATGCAAACAGCCAAAGCTGTCATTGCTTTGTATAGCGCTTCAATCGGAGCCAAACATCTTCTTTATTTTAGCCCCTAGACCCAAATGATCGGTTCACCCTTGCAGTGTGGGTTTAGCCCCACTGCAAGGGTTCATTTTTAGATTGCCTGGAGTCTGTGGCGTTACAAGGGGGGGGGTGGCCCGCACCCGGGTGACACCAAAATGACTGTCAGTCATTTTGGTGTCACCCCCTCTGAAAAGTCGGGCACTCGGTCATGGACCAAGAGCCCGACAGTTTCTGGAAAGAGGAGGGGATCCGGCGGTTGAACGTCCCCTCCTTCCGCCGGTTGAATGTCCCCTACTCTCTGTGCTGGCATCCATCACCAAGATGGCCACCGGCAGGTGTCAATCAGATGACCGTCACAGCGGGGTGTCACCCGGTATTCGCTCCGGGTGACACCCGACCTCAGGACGCCCCTGCCTGGAGTTCTTTAACCTCTTGCCGTCCGCCCGTAGTAAAAAAACGGACGGACGGCACTGCAGCATCTGCGGGTTGCCGTCTCCAGACGGCAATTTTTTTCTGCTCGCGCGCGCCCCCTAGCGGGCACGCACGGGCAGAAAAGACCAATTCTAGTTGCACATGCAGAAGCACTCTGCTCAGATACTAGTCGCCTGACTAGTATTTAGACTAGTACTACTGTGGTAGTACTACTACTACTTATTTCACACTACTGTGCTCCATCTCCTGTATTGGAGGTGACAGGGTCAATAAAGAGAACCTGTCACCTCCAATTGCTATCACACAGAGGATTATTAGCTCCTGTGTGATAGCAATAAAGTTAGGTGAAAAAAAAATTGATAACAAAGCTTGGATCCATAATGAGAATCTCCCAGAAGACTAGAAGAAAGGACTTTCCCAACTCCATATCTGGATTCCTGAGCCACCAAGCCAGGGACAACCTGCTAGAAGGAGAACTGGTCTGTCCAAAGATTGGACCGACTTGTCCAGAATGTTGAGTTGCAGGGGTCTGAAGTGGAACTGGGCAAATTGGACTGCAGTGAAGGAGGCTACCAATAGCCCCAGGACTCCCATGAGAAGCGAGGAGTCAGGTGAATTTTGGACTGAAAGTCTCCTGAATGCTATTGTGTTCATGTTCAATGACAGCTGAGAATGTCAAATGGGCGGAGCGAGCTGTGATGTCATGTTATGACTTTTGGGGGGAAGGAACCCCACATATATATATGTTTTTTTACATGGGTGGTCCCTCTTAACATTCCTACTAGACCTGAATGGTCTGGAATGATTTGGGAGGGGGACCCCGCGCCTTTTTGTGGTTATTGTTTACACGTCATTCAACAGAATAATATGTAAACATGTCAGCAGCAATTGGCTATTCACTCTCTGCTGTTTGGTCCCTTTGAGAATAGGGGTGAACAGCAGAGAGTGAACTGCCGAACGTTCGCCTCAGCTGATCCAGATGTTGCATCGGCTAAGGCGAACTTCTTCCCTTCGGTTCAGCTGAATGTGCTGTTCGGCTTAACCGAAGGGAGGTAGAGTGAGCCGATTGCAGCCGATGTACAGCTAAGGCTGGGCACACACCTTACAACCATCACAAGACTTTTGTCTTGCGATGGTTGTAAGGTACTTAAAAAATCGTACGATCTGCCTATCTTGCATAGGCAGATCGTACTTGCGATGATCGTAAGCCACGCCCCCTGAGGGGCGGGCTTCCGATGACCGCAATGCCGTCCGGCTTTTATCTTACGAACATGCTACAGACCCGCCGAACATCGTACGATGCTCGGCGGGTTTTCAAACATGTTCGTGCGACCTTACAGTAGTAGAGTAAAACAGTAGAAAGGTATCATGGCACACTCACAAACCAGCATGTAAAACAACTTGTCTCACCACTAAGGTTAATAACAGAGGTTTGGATACACGTCTTCTGCAGAAAATGTGAAAGCCACACAGCAGCGCCAAGCCACCTCTTATAGTGCGGTCCTAACTCTAAACTATGAGAGTCTCCATCTTGGAGCACATGGGGGCAGAAGATTTCAAATTGGGTGCAGGTTTGTCAGGAGGAAGCCCAACCTCCTTAAAGGCACAGGGACACACAAGGGATCCCGCACATCCCAATGGCAGCTGAGAACCCCCATGCGTCGCTGCACCGAACCAAAACAAATGTCAAACGCACTCAACAATTCGTCACCAGCTATACAGTAAGTATAGAATTGTTGAGTGCGTTTTATAATTTGTTTTGCTTACAGTGGTAGAGGTCGCACGGCTTCCACACACCTTACGATAATCGTACGATTGCGGGATTTCCCGTGATTATCGTGCGATTATCGTAAGGTGTGTGGGGACCTTAAGAAAAGCCAGTTGGCTTGGTTATTCCTTTGGCAGCTTAGTGAATAATTCCCTAAATTCTGATTTTTATTTGTGCTTTTACTCCCTCTAGTGGACATTTTGTAAATTGTTATGTATTCCTCACAATGACCATCAATATTTTAATTCTGTTTTATCAACGTTTTTTTTAGTTTCAAAAGATTTTTTTTTTTTTTTCCACATAATAAAGTTGAATTACAAGCAGTACGTACACTCAAACATAGAGTTTCCGCACGTAGGAGTTTTACAAGCAGTGGTATTTGCACTTACAAAATAAAATGAATATAAGTCAGTTACAAATTACAGTAATGCGTGCTTAAGCTGCGTTCAAGACTTGAGTGGACTCGGTCTTCCTGGGTCCAGGCAGCGAGGATGTTTATGAGTACAAAAAGAACATAATAGGAAAACAGAAAGATGTGATAAGAGGAGGAGGGAAGTTGGGGAAGAGGGGAAGGGTGGGGAATAGGTGTCATCGTGACGAGAGTTCCAGCTTGCATCACAGTCGTTAAGTATAGAGAAGTACCAATACTTGGGGAGCTATTATAGGGTTAGCAAGCGGGTATCGAAGGAAGGTGGGAGGAAGTGCCGTATCCAGGGATCCCAAATTGTCTCAAATTTTTGAGTGCGGTCCATTAAACGTGCTGATAGTTTCTCATTGGAGAAAATCCAGTGGATTCTATTCTTGAATGTTTGGAATGAGATTCTATGGGTGAACCATGAAGTGGCAATGGTGTGTTTAGCAGCTGTGAGGACATGTAGGACCAGTTTGATTTTGAGGTGAGGAATATTCATGGGTTTGATGTTGAGTAGCGCTGTTTGGGGGGTTGGTGAAACATGCACATGTAAGGGTGGAGAGCATTTTGAACACTTTAGACCAGAATGTTTGGGCGATGCGACATGACCACCACATATGGACATATGTGCCGCTGTCAGGGCAACCACGAAATCATGAGCCTGTACAGCCCAGTGCGAAGTGTTGGGCCTGATAGGGGATGATGTACCAACGGAGAAGTACTTTGTAGTTTGTTTCCAGAACTCTGGCGCACATTGAGCTAGAGTTAGTGGAGGTCCATATTTGGGACCAGGTATCTTTTGTAAGGTCTTTCTGCCAGCGGTCCATATATGGGTGGTGCGGAGATGGGGTCGGTTGTAGGGATGTTAGGTAGAGTTGTGAGATGATTCCTGGGGAATGCGGGTCATGTTTGCATATTCTCTCAAAGGGTGATAATGCCAAAAGGTTAGCTTCGGCGTATATAAAATTTATCAACGTTTTTATTAATGCTAAATCCATATGGATCACTTTAATTTTGTTTTGTGGATCTGGTGAAGGGAGATTGTTTGACCCCGAAACACCTAGGTTACCTTTTGTTTTCCTGTTGTCAGCTGTGAAATAAATAAAATACTTTTGGAGTCATTCTGGCTCAGATACATATAGATGTCTCAATTAGGGTGACCCCTGTCCCTGGGGGGGACCCCTATTTTGTGGAGAGCTACTGAACACAAGTAAATTGGCTAATTTAAGGACATCTTTTTCCTGTAGGTTGGGGATTTGTATCCAGCACCTCACTTCCACCTCTCCCTGGAAAAGTAAGCTCTTGATCAGTCTGCTGAAAAATCAGCTTATCTGAACTACCAGGCATGTCTGTGCTGTGTGACAGTGCTGTGTGACAGAGCCGTGTAAATCTCTGGACTGTATGGACAGAAATACAAATCCTATGGCAGACAAGACAGCTCCCATATATGTATTTTATCTGTGTATGTATTATTTATTTATTTTTGCCTTGAGGGTAGTCTGGGAAAAATACAACCGGTTGGCCAGGCTCCTCTCTGAGAGCTTTGCTTGATGCTATATGCTCCATATTGATAATCATCACAGTATAGTCATATTAATAGACGGAAGTTCTTTTGGGACTAGTTGCAATAGTTTTCTGATTAAATATACCTGTATGTTTTGTATTAGGATAATTAAAGCGCATGAAAAGATGACACTAATTAAATTCATTAGTCAACAGTATATTTTTACTGAATGAATTGACATTTAACACAAATACAATGATGTAAATTAAAAAAAATGATTATT